AGGTATGGTTCAGTACAGTGGTGACTAGTGCGTTGACGACGTAAACTTTAATATGGACGTAGAAATTTCTAATATTTTTGAATTTCGGCGAGGAAAACGATGTTTCAATATGGATAATTATAAATTTAGTGAATTTCGTGTTTTAAAGAGTGGATTTTCAAATTTTAGATGCACTAATAAAAAATGTCCAGCGAGTGTTATTGTTAAAATACAGAATAATACAAAATACAAAATAATAAAAGTAACCAATTCTCATAATCATGAGGAGTATAATAATAGAACAATTACGAGAGAAATCATCAGAAGTGCCGTTAAACGTAGTGCAGAAAGCGATTTGTATACAAAACCAAACAAATTAATACGGCGTGAGTTACGAAATGCAGAGAATTTGACAACACACTTAGAACATAATGATGTAAAATTGCTACGAAGATCAATGTATGAAACTAGGAAAAAACATTATCCAAATTTACCAAAATCGTTTGAAGACGCAAGAAATCAACTGATCGACATGCAAGATGACATTCAATACCAAGGTAATACATTTTGTTTTAACAGTGATGATGAAAACATATTTATATTTACGTGTAAAAAAAACTTGGAATTACTTAAATATTCTGAACACGTTTTTGGGGATGGAACTTTTTCATTTGCTCCTAATCATTTTGTTCAACTTTGTACGATTCACGTTTTTCTAAATAATTTTTACATACCCGTAGCTTATTGTTTTTAGCGTAACAAACATACAAATACTTACATACATATGTGGCAATCATTACACAATATATGCTTACAAATGACGGGAAATAAAATAAATTTAATAAATTTTCATGCTGATTTTGAAAAGGCAGCGCATAATGCGGTATTACAAATTTTTCCTCAATGTAAAATTGTTGGCTGTACCTTTCATTTAGTACAAAATTGGTTCAGGCAAATACAACAAAATAAAATATTATTATCTGAGTACTTAAAAGATTCGGAAATTGTAAAATGGATGAAGTATTTTTATGGTTTAAGTTATTTACCACCCAATGAAGTTTCAGATGGCTTTACAGATCTTATGGCAATAGCACCCCATACAGTTAGTTTTATATTCTCTGATTATATTTTAGAAAATTATATTGACTCAGCAATTTTCTACCAATATTATGGGCATGTGAACCAAATGGTAATCCCAAGACGACGAATAGCGCAGAAAGTTTCCATAAACATTATAATAGCCAATTTTATACACCACATCCACACATACATCAAGTCATTGATGTACTCATGCAAATTCAAAGTGAAACAGATTTAAAAATTAACTCAATAAAAAACAATGTTATGAATTATAAAAGAAAGGAAACTGTACATAAAGAAGAATACTTACAAGATATGTGGAATTCTTATGTAAAAAATATTGGAAATAAATTCCATCACACAAATTTAATTTAAAATAATAATAATTACGACGATACTTCATATTAAATATTTAAATGCAGTATATTTTTATATTGACAACACACCTACACACACATGCATTTTTAATCACGCCTGTTTGAAGCAGACAGTCCTAAGCCTGTTAAAGTGAGAAGGAAAATGTGTGCGCAAACGAGTTCTGACACTAGGGATTTTCGTCACAGGTAGCCAAAATATATTTGCGCAATAGAGTTGTGTATTTTTGCGCAAACGAGTTGTAAAAAAGGTAAATGTGCGCAAACGAGTTGTAGCCCCAAAATGTTATTTAAACATTTTTGTTGCTCCTGTACATTTTTGTTGATCCTAATTTGTGTGGATTACGCCCTTTTTACAAAACACCGTCGATATAATATAGGTATATACACACACACACGCATTCATTGTAAAATCAAATATATACCTATATACAAATTAAACATAATATTATATAACCCGACAATGCTTGATGATAATATATAAAATAATAGTCTAATACAGTATTATAGGTAGTTTATTCTGAATCGGTTTATTGAGTATAGCGTTTAATATATATATTATATAATTGTTACGGAGTGAATATTATACTATCGTCGTCTTGTGAGCTTTATTTTATATATCAGGTATAGGCGGTATATATTATTAAATAATATAAAATTATTTATTATATATATATTATATTATGTGACGATGCCTAACCTCACCTATATATATATAATATATACACACGCATACATATTATATTATATATATATACATATTTAATCCAGGTGAAATATTTTTGAAAACTGTGATTAGCAATATTATTTTGAATTCCAATTCATTATTTATTCAGAACAGACACACATGACATGCACCTTTTTAATCACGCCTGTACAAAACAGATGGTCCTAAGCCTATATTAAAGTAAGAAGGGAAATGCGCTGTTCTGCTCAAAGTTAAATGTGCTCAAATGAGTTGTACCTTTATAATTTAAACCCAAAATATGTGTGCGCAAACGAGTTGTGATTTTGTGCGCAAATGTGCCGTAAAAAAGGTAAATGTGCGTAAACGAGTCGCACCAGTGACGTATTTAGGGGGGGGTGGCTAGAGGGGGCGATCGCCCCGGGCGGCATTTTTATAGGGGCGGCATCAGATTTTTACATAACCCATCTTCTGTTAATGAAAATGAAAATGAAAAATAATATAAATTAGTTTTTTTTTATCAATAATATAATAATTAAAAAATAATAATTTTTATCAATAATATTTCAACACTGTTTATACAGTTATCGCTTATTAGTGACTTATCAAAGTATAGAAAACATTAAAACAATGAATTTTGAATTTTTATACGACATATACCCGTACGTAAATATTGGCTATTGCTCTAAGAATGTATCAATGTTGTAATGTGTCTAACTGCTCTTCAGAGCGATCGTTTAGTGCACTAAAACGAATTAAAAGTTATTTTCGATTGAGGATGACTGATGAACGACTAAACAGTATCGCCATATTAAACATCGAATCAGATATTACAAAAGGTTTAGACTATGATGATATAATCAATGAGTTTAGTTCCTTGAAAGCTCGAAAAAAGAATATGTAAATTTTAAATATTTATTGTTTTGTAATTATAGTTGATAATAACTAAACCTATTTTATATTAAATATTTAAATGTGATTTATTTATAAAAATAACATAATGTTTAAAGTTTGAAATCTACTTTTTTTTTTTTTTTACTAACTTTTGTTCTAAAAAGGATACGATAACGGGCTGTCACCGGAAAGTAAGCTCCAACGCTCTCGGTAGTTTGAAAAAGTCAAATAATTTTTTTTGTGGAGGGGGGGGGGCGGAAAAATATTGGCACCCGGGCGCCAAATTTCTGAATACGTCTCTGAGTCGCACCCATGGTTATCCTGAATCAGTGACAAATAATGTAGCTATTGAAACGTAAATAATAAACATTGAAGTTTCCTTTTTAAATATAATTGTACTAAAACAAAATAAAAAAAATATTTTAGACAAAAAGAAAAATTGGCATTGAATGAAATAGACAAAACTAATCAAATTAGTACAGCAAAAACACAACCACCAACAAATAAAATGAGGTATTTTAAATTGAAAATTAATTTCTAAATAAGTAAATGTTTAAAAAAAAATTGTTTTAGTAAACACAATCTTCTTAAACGATCGATAGAGAGGTCCACTGATGTGAGTTCTCTTACGAAGGTTAGAAATGATATTATTAAAGATTATTATGCTCAGAAACTTCTTTTGGAAAGGATTGTGATAGCGAAAGAAGAAAAAATTATCATAATGAGGGCTGCAGCTTTAAGGAGGTATTAATTATTTTTTTATGTAATGACAAGTTAAATAATAATCTGTGATAAATACATACGTATTAAAAGGAACTTCAAAGTGTAATAATTTATGTTTATATATTTTATTTTGTCAATGTTAATGTTATTTGTGTAATAGTTTTATTTTTAAATTTTGTTAATTAAAATACATACAATGTTATCCTTATTAATTCAGAATATAACAAATTTTTTTATTATAAATTGTGACTGTTATGTGAAATACAATTGAATTAAATGTTGTTGAAAATGTATTCCTGCAGTGAGCTCTGGGTTTATTCTATTTCCTCCATCGTGTATAGGTACTATATCAGGAATTACTTCAGCTTCGACTTCATCATTATTATTAATAATAGGCAATTTATTAGCTATACAAATGTTATATAGTATTGTGCATGCGTTGATTATAGTTGCAGCTTTTTCGGGATGATAATGAAGTACTCTGTGCTTAAGTAGGCATCAGTATTAAATTTAATTAATTATGCACTTATTATTTTAGATTAGTTTGCTTAAAAAAATAAAAAATAAGTACCGAAAACGCATTTTGAGTACTCCATTAGGGGAGACCGGGGACAAAAGTAACACGGGGTGAAAGTAACATGCTCAATTTCTTTCTCCATAATAATAATTTAAATCCGGTTTGGAGTGTATCATGTGCGCCACTACGAAGGACATATTTGCACATATTTCTTTTGTCGTAGTCCTATTCTTCTTATCACAAAATAACAAAAACTGATATCGCTATACAAAAGTGATAATAAAATTGTTAATGGTTTTTTTTTTCAATTCAATTTTTACTGTAGAGGAATACTTGATACATTGAAAGCACTCTAAAGTCATCTTTTTTCTTTTGGAAGTCTGAAAAAGGTTGAATCAGGTACGTTTAATACTTTATTATTCTACATTAGAAAAAATGTCTGTATGGGGTCGAATGAAACAAATTTTGTGGGGTCAGAAGTAACACGATGTAGCATTTGGTTACTATTTTTTTCTTATGAATTCAATTTAATTTATTTGAGTTTTTTTTTAATATAGCTTACAAACATGCCACGTGCACGGAAAAAAATTACTAGTAGAGGAACATTGCCAGACAGTGTAATGAGGACAGCAGCAAATATTTGTTTAGAGGAAAATCAGTCTATTCGTTCAGTAGCTGCAAGATTTGATATTTGCCATGTCAGTCTAAGTAGATATATAAAAAAAAATTAAAACTTTATCAAAATGCAATGGGGCCCAACCCAGTGTTTGGATATCGAGCACATAATAAAGTGTTTAACAAATGTCAAGAAAATCAACTTGCTGATTATATTAAAAACTCAGCAGACCTGTATTTTGGGCTATCGCCTACAGCCATTAGAAAATTAGCTTTTAGTTTTTCTCTGAAAATAAATTTAAAAGTACCAAAAAAAACTGGATTGATAAAGAGCAAGCAGGAATTGATTGGTTTTCAGCCTTCCTTAAAAGAAATCCAACACTGTCCATTCGCCAGCCAGAAGCTACAAGCATCTCAAGAGCTATGAATTTTAACCCTGCCAATGTTAAATTATTCATGGATAAATATGAGTCTGTTATGTTAAAATACAAATTTGAAGCACATCACATTTACAACTTAGACAGGACTTAGACAGGAATAACAACTGTTCAGAATACTGAAAGAGTAGTTGCGCTTAAAGGGAAAAAAAAATTGGAGCCATTACATCTGGTGAACGTGGGACATTGGTCACAATGTGTTTGGCTGTCAATGCTACAGGTAATTTTGTTCCACCCATGTTCATTTTCTCTAGAGTTAACTATAAAGTTTTTTTCATAAGAGGTGGTCCTACTGGTTGCATTGGTGCCGCTAACAAATCAGGTTGGATGCAAGTGGAAGAGTTTATAATATTTATGAAGCATTTTGCAAATCATGTACGACCTTCGGTTGATAGAAAGATACTTGTGTTATTGGATAACCATGAATCTCATTTATTCTTGCCTGTTATTGATTTTTGTAGGGAAGTAGGAATAGTATTATTATCTTTCCCTCCTCACTGCTCGCATAAACTCCAGCCACTGGATAGATCAGTTTATGGACCGTTCAAAAAGTGTATAAATCAAAATATGACTGCTTGGATGCATAATAATCCTGGAAAGAGACTGACTATATATGATATACCACATATTTCTTCTGGAGCTATAATTAGTGCTGCTACTCCCAAAAACATTACAAATGGTTTTTCTGTATCGGGGATATGGCCTTTTAACAGAGATGCATTTAGCGAAGATGAGTATGCGCCATCAACTGTAACAGATCTCATGATGGATATACAGACTCAAACATCCTCAAAACCAGAAGAAAATGTAGAAGTTCCTAGTTTTCAGCCAGAAAAAATAACATCACTAGATTTGGATCATCAGTCATCAGAAACATTAATAGCACCAGAGCATATAAACCCATACCCAAAAGTACAATTTCAAGAAAAAGCTTTAAAAAAGGGGGGTAGAAAAAAAAGGGAAGATAGCAATACTGACAGACACACCTGAAAAAACAGAGCTTGAAAATAAAGTAAACAATACTGCTAAAAGAAGCCTTAAATTTAAATAAAATAAAAAAAACACCAAAAAAATGAAGATATCAAAAAGAATTCCTAAGAAAAATAAAAAGAAGATTGTTGATAGTGAAGAAGAAGAAGAAGAAGAAGATACTTTTTGTTTAGTTTGTGGAGATACATATTCCAATAGTAAAAACAAAGTAACATGGATACAGTGTCTAAAGTGCAAATTCTGGGCACATGAAAAATGTACTGATTTGATGAAGATTACTGCTTTTTATAAATGCGACAACTGTGAGGCTGATGAGGTAGGAACCTAAATAGTTCTATGCACATATTGTTTACAACAACTTTAATTATAAATATAAACAAATAATATCTTATTTTATATTTATTGTAATGTTAATTTTCTTATAAGTTTTTACTGTCGAGACTGACTAATGACTATATAATATATCATTTTTTTTTTTTTTTTTATGAATAATATTTTGTTTTGATTTAAAATGGTTCAATGTCTTAATTGTAAGTTTTGGCACATGAAAGTTATTAAATATATTTATAGTTTAAGTGCATTGTTTTGTTAATTTTCTCATAAGATTTTACTGTCGAGACTGACTATAATATAATATATATATTTTTTTTTTTTGCTTATTATGAATAATACTTTGTTTTGATTTAAAATGGTTGTGTCTAAATTATAAGTTTTGGATCATGAACGTTATTTTATATATTATTATTTTAAATATATTGTTTTGTCAATTTTCTTAAGAGTTTTCAATGTTGAGACTGTTTATATACTATCATATAATTTTTTTTGTTTTTGTTATGAATGATATTTTGTTTTGATTTAAATTGTTTTAGTGTCTCAGTTGTAAGTTTTGGTACATGAAAGTTATTAAATATATTTATATTTTAAGTGCATTGTTTTGTTAATTTTCTAATAAGATTTTACTGTCGAGACTGACTATAATATAATATATATATTATTTTTGTTTATTATGAATAATATTTTGTTTTGATTTAAAATGGTCCAGTGTCTTAATTGTAAGTTTTGGATCATGAACATTATTTTAAATATATTGTTTTGTTAATTTTCTAATAAGATTTTATTGTCGAGACTGACTATATAATATATATTTTTTTTTTGTTTATGAATAATATTTTGGTTTGATTTAAAATGGTTCAGTGTCTTAATTGTAAATTTTGGCATATGAAATATATTTATTATACTAAGTATATAAATATATACTATTATATATTTATATATATTTTTTGGTTTATGAATATTTTGTATTGATATCCAATATAAATTGCATACAGTGTCTGTACAAGTTCTGGCACATTTTTGAAATTATAATTTTGAGATAAACAATAAAATTGTATTGTATGTATCTTGTTTGAATATAATATGTATCTAATGATCAATGTTATTGATTATTGATATTGTATTATACTATTACCATACATGGTACTTTTGTACCCAATACGTGTTACTTTTGAACCTTGCAAGGGGTCGAAAGAAAAATTTTTTTTTTTTTAAAATATCTTAGGTTTAAACTAAATTTATGTAGATATTATGATGTCATTTAAAAGGTATTAATTTGTTCTATCAAATGAAAATGGTTTTATCTGAAAATAATTAATAGTTTTTTTTTAAATTTATAATTAAGTGAAAAATGTTACTTTTGTCCCCGGTCTCCCCTACAACGCTCTATAATAGATCTTGTTTTACGCGTGTGAAGTTGGGTGACCAAAGCTAGGTGACCAATTTTTGGTGATAAGAAAACTTGTATGCTCGGTTGCATTACGGTATTTTCTAGGCGCACAATGTTTATATTGCCGTTTGTATGTTCTACTTCTATTTCTAACCACAAGATAGCAGTAAAGGATTCTTCACGAAATATTATAAGGTCACCTAAGCTTCATAGTATTATAAAATGACGCCACGAAGCCAGGACATGGCACTATACACGACACCCATACGACGCCTAACGTATACGCGCGCGTGGTTTTTGATTTTTCCGGCAGTGTTCCGGAAGGAGTCGTAAAACCTATCATAGATACTTGGAAAGCCAGGAAAATTTACTATCCGACGAGATAAATTTCAAGAGCTCCCGGGCTTTGGGGGTAACCGTATTTAGTGCACGAAAGTGCCAGGTGACTAATGCCGGTATGACGTGAAACGTATACGGGCGTCTGGTGAACAATGCCGGTAGGGCGCGAAACGTATACGCGCGCGTGGTTTTTGATTTTTCCGGCAGTGTTCCGGAAGGTGTCGAAGAACCTATTAATATGTTGGAGGTCCTGTTCCTCCTCGATCGCGATTGTAATGGCTTTTTCGAGCGAAAATACGTCACGCGCTCGTAAAAATGACCTAATTTCGGGTTTTGCCCCGTTAACGAATGCAGTAAGCGCCCCCAATTTGTGTGATGAGGCTACCGCTGCGGCTGATGCTGCCTCTAGTCCTAGTGTTAATGCTCCTACTAATTCATGATAGCATTTTTCAGTTCGTCTAGCAAAACTACGAACGTCCTCGTCGGATCGTTGTCTAATGTTACTAAGTTGTGATTGCAAATAGTTAATTGAATGTGGTGCCCCAAAAACGTTCCTAAGGTGGTTTTTGAGTTCCGACCAGTTCGAGAAATTTCGGTAACGAGTAGCTTGGTAAGCGTCTCCCTTCAGTTCGGATAGTATATTGTGAAACACTACTGTTACAAGATTTTCATGGATATTTTCCATTATGTAGTTACATTCTGTTATATATGAGGCTAGTTCTACCTCGGTACCCCCGCTAAAGTTAGGTATGCCGCGCAAGGTGGAGTCAATTCCTAATGTTACGCTCATGACTGTCGTTTGTAAAGTTTGCGGGTTATATTTAACTACTGCCCAACACCTCGGACTCTCAGACATATACTATATAATTACTTGTTAAAAATAACAACTTACAATGTGTTACTCATTGCGATTTTTGTCTGAACTCGAGGTCCGCTGATGTACTTGGATCCAGGTCGGTTACTGGAAAACTTCCTTCAGATGACCCCACACCTGACACCAAAAGACGTGTAGTGATCCCTCACTAACGCTTATATTTTTGAGTTCAAAGACGTTGACGGTTGAATAGGAGAAAAGGTTGCAGAGACAAGTTACACAAGTTAGGTAGAAGTAGTTTTATTAACGTTTTAAAAAGTAAATGATCACAATTAAGTGTAATATAAATTTGAGGACAGAGCGAAAAGCATCTGCCGGAGAAGTTAGTTACGTACAGTATGTACGTAGTGCAAACTCTAACTAATTCTAATTTTGCAATAGACATCATCTTATATTTATATGAAATCTATGCGGATATAAAAGTACACGGTAGAGTCTAGGAGATGGATATTTGAAAGGAGCCTGGGGCTGGATGTTGTTATTGCCAAAAGACCTGCGTGACTTATTGGCAATTTTAACAGGTTTGTTTTCGCATTATTTTGGCAAAGCGAAGATCGAGTGAATTATGGTTTTGTTTTCGCATTATTTTGATAAAGCGAAGATCCTTAAATTAATCGTTAGATTGATTTTTTAATTAAACTGCCAAACCCAAGGTATTGAAAAAGATTAATAGTATTGTTGTTGTCCAGCGTACCACATCATGAGAAATGTAATTAAAATATTGAATATAGGAAAGCGACTCCGTCGGTGACTATAGAACTGTGGTAATATTTTCAATCAAGAGTGTATACGTATAGGGGTATAGAGTGACGACAACTTATCAATACACCTTGTATGTTTGATTTAAATTTTATCTGGTTATCATAATACAGTTCTTAACAGATAATGCTTGTAATCGTTGTATAATGCATGTTGATATAAAATTGAAAATAAATATATTTGTTTATTTTTTCCTTTCTTAAAAATTTTTTTTTAGAAAATTGCTCCTGTGAATTATATTATGTATAAACAAGAACGCACAAAAGTGCATCGGTTAGTAAGGTCGGACGCACCGTAGCTCCGCATGAATAAAAATATTTTGTGAATCCGTAACTCCGCATGCACCGTATCTCCGCACGGTCGAAAACACGAACGCACCGTATCTCCGCACGGTCGAAAAAACGAACGCACCGTTACTCCGCATTCTAAAAATATTTCAAACACCAAAAGTCCACATGTCATAAAACTGATAAAATATAAAATTGATAACATATTATTATAGGTAATAAGTAATAACTAATAACCAATATATTTATTTCCCCTAGTATCCAACGTTTACGGGACGAATTCAGTTCTCTGATCTCGGAGTGTTTGCTTAAAATATAATTGCTAATTGTTAATTGTTAATTTATTTATTAGCTTAAATTATCAATTATATATTTATTATTATATTATATATTTAATTAAGTTTTATTTAAATTTTAAATATGATGGCAAGTGAACGTAAAATATCAAATAAGTGTTGTATACAGTCAACGGGGAAATGTGCTATTAGTAAAAAGTAACTACAAATATTCTAAGTATACAGAATTAATATCCGGGGAAATTGGATGGAAATGCATACAAAAAATGTGTACAGCAAAATTATACACAATTGGCGTTGATTATAATTTTTCGCGGGAATCAGGGACACATACACATAAAAGTATTGACACCAATATTATTGTTCGACAAAAGATTAGTAACGGGATAAAACGAAAGGGACTTGATTATATTACTGATCGTCCTTCCAAGTTAATAAAACTTGAAATAGCCAATAATGTAGAAGCAACTTCGACTTTAACATATAAAGACACAAAATTAATTAGAGATAGCATTTCTCGTGAACGCTTACGAAATTTACCGAAACTTCCAAAATCAATTTCAGAAGTACATGAATATAATAATAACACCAAGCCGATAACGGTGAAAGACGAATATTTTATTATAACAAATGACCCATTAGATCATATAATCATATTTTCATGTGATTCAAATTTAAATGTTATGTGTGATTCTCCGACCTTATACGTTGATAATACATTTAAATACTGTACGAAATTTTTTCACCAATTATTCAGTATTCACGCATATCGTAATGGTGTATTTGTACCAGTTGTGTTCTGTTTGCTTCCAAATAAAAATAAAGATACATATACAGCTATTTTATATTTATTTTATTTTATTTTACCGATGACGACAATATTTGTTGCAAATTGTCTTTATTATTATTATTATTATTATACAATGTTTAGATTAGGCTGTTTAAGCCGTTTCCAGTATTACCTTTTTATTTAATTTTAATAACATAATATATTGTATTTAAATTAAATAAATTAATACAATAATAAATAATACCTATTATGTGTATATA